TATTGTTTTTGCATCTATTCTTCTCGTCCACACTTCAGTAGACTAAAATTAACAAAGCCTTAAATTAAAATGCCACAAAATGTGTATATATCTCGCCCATGGGAGAATTAAAGTAAAATTAAAAAATCCAGTGGCGGCCATTTTGAAATTGATTTTTAAAGGTCAAGGACTAAATATACAGCCTTGGTAGAGCAAAAAATGAATTCAGCGTACTCAAAATAGGTAAGTAAGCCCAACTACCTGCTTGTACTAAAAAATGCCGTTAGGATGAACATTTTCCCAAAATCAAACCAGTCTAAGATGTATGTGTTCTAAACAAACCTGTCGCGTTTCGGAATGGGAACTCATTTTCTAACACCAACATCAACGCAGTGGGTAAGGCAATTATTTTTTATAAATACTGGATTAATATGCAAAAATATATAAAAAATAATAACATTATATCAACTGGACACATTAATAATCATAATATATTAGACACTTATTGGACATCATTAACTAACGGTACCTGATATGTTCTGATATTATTCTTGTTATTCTGGACAAAATTTAAAACTCAGATCTTTTGTAAATTAACTCAGTAAGTTCTTATGTAAAATAAACTGTTCACTACAAAATGTTATGAGATCTGAATGCAAGAAGTATTGTTAAACATAACTTAAATAAATATCTGAGCAATTTAACTAGAAAGTTAAAGAACTATCTTGTACGTTTTATTTTAGAACTATCTTTTAGATTTCATTTCATAATGGCAAAAACCATCCTTTAAATTTTAGTTTAGAACTATCTTAGAATGACAAGAACTATCATTTGCATTTTATATTAGAATGACCTATATGATTCCTAGATTTCATTTTGTAATTTTAAAATGACCAATTAAAACTTTCTTTTATATTAAGTTCTTTCCTGTAAATTTACAGGAAGTCATCCTGAGAACAGGCAGGCCTTTGGCTGGAAAAAATTAAAAAAACAATAATTTTTTCTGATCCTGATGAATAAATAAAGTTTTATGTACAGGCTGCATTTTGGGTATACTATATTGCTGGCTGGTTAAAGTATTTTACATATTCATTTTGTATTTTGCTTTTCAGATATTCTCTTTAACAAAATGTTTTTTAAATTTGATTTATCGATACAACGACCTTTTGTATATTAGTTATATTATATATGACTATATTTTACAAGAAATGATAAAACCGTACAAGTGGCTTTAAAGACGAATGTCTTTACGCCTATAGTCTTCAGCAAAACGTACTGAGAACTTATCCCATTGTTATACGTAATATAATACATTGTATTATGCTATATTTTGTTTTGTATACTTTCGTATACTTTTTCAGGCATTCTAATTTCTAGGGTTGTGTAAGTAGGAATAAGACATTTATATTGGAGTTTTTGTGGTATTTACCATTGATGTCTGTTCTCGAGTATACTTAGCATGCTTCGGTTACTACTAAGCAAATGTAAACAGTTAAGTGTTTTTGTTGTGTATGTATGTATGTATGTATGTATGTACGTACGTACGTACGTACGTACGTATGTATGAAGTCTATGTTCAATTAGGGTCCATCCCCCCGTTAAGGCACAAAAAGCAGCTTTCGCTGTCGAGTACAGACCCCGGATATACAATCAGTTATGCCCTTAAAGAGTTAGCCAACGATATGATTTTGAGCCAAAAGTAGGTCACTATACGGCTAAATATACAGTAACCCGAGACAATAATGAAAGCAGCTAACCCTTAAAAGAACTGTTTGTGCTAAGCAAAGGTTCTGTCTTACAAGCCGTCTATCTGTGCTAGGAGCTGACGCATCCTAGCACACCATCCTTCACCACCTCTGCCCACATCGAATGGCCACTCCCTTTGGCTTAAGTCAGGACATTGACTGCTGGTCCCCAGTTTTTTAACGATAGCAGTCCCAATAACGGGCAAGATAATTTAAGTTTTCTACCCGGCAACTCGCAAATGTTCTGCAGATATCCCGTGCCTTCCATTAATAATAATAATATATACTATTATTATTATTACCATAATTACTCTTTTAGTTTTAGCTCCATACGTCCATACGTTATATTCTTTTATTGTGCTAGATTTGTTTTTGTTTATTTTTATGTGCTATGTATCAACAGACAAACAAACAACCAAATCTAGCAAAATAAAAGCACATAAAGTGTAGAGCTAAAACTAAAAGAGTTATAAAGGCTACAATAATCATATCAGTCTGAGCCTGATACAAGGTAATAAATGCAAACATAATAATGAGACAATTATACTGCATGTATAGCAAAAGATAACTAACAACTTGAAACATCCAGCATGTCGCTGCCAAAATTTTGGTTTTTGATGATATATTATGTGATGTTACAAGATGTACAGCTACAATTCTCCCCTTGCCAAGTATTCATTAATGATCTCAAATGTTTAAAAGATAATGTTTGTCTGAAATATCTGGAAGTTGATTCTAATTTTAAGTTTGGCAGCGACATACCAGAAAGATTTCTTACCATATCTGTCAGTTCTTGGTAAAGGTAACTCAACAGTATAAGTGTGTCTAGAATTATAGCTAGAATGTTTAAGATGTAGTAAATCATTTAAATAATCTGGAGACATACTATTTAGAATTGTGTATGCTTTTGTATGCTCTTAGCCTTCTAACTTTTAATGAAATAATTCCAGACTTCTCAAGTAGTAGTAGCTGAATTTTCTCTATTTTGTTTGATTCATTTGTAAAATGCCAAGTAAGAGGACAATAATTAAAATTTGACATAACAAAAGAGTAGTATATTGTAAGTCTGCTAAATCTATTCAGATGTTTTCCAATTACAAAATGTATCTTCAGTACATTTAGTTGTTTAGTTGTTTGATGGACATGATATGTTGAGATAGATAGATAGATAGATAGATATTTATTCAGGTTAAAACACACATACATGTATACATAAAACAAACACTTAAGCATTTTATATAAAACTGATGACACAATTGTAATAAAATATTTCGGAAGTTTGTCAGACATAAATATCACAGACGGCTCATTAAATAATAAAATATTATAACTAAAAACAAAATCTAAAACTCTTTCTTTCCTATGACTAGATATCAATTTACTAGTTTAATAAAATGTAAGGACGTAAGTGGAAACATGTATAGAGTAGTGTGCAATAACATCGGATTGCCCATGAAAGCCCGAAGGCTTATTTCCAATGGGGTCCTTGGATATATACTTACTATAATATACAATATAAAACACAAAAACATTGAAAAATACAAAACTTTGGAAACTGGAAGATGTCGTTTACGTAAAATATCAAACTTTAGTATTTCCATTAACTTTGCTAAAAGGAAAACAATAAAAATGAGAGCAATATCTAGTCATACTAGTGGATTTAATTATGATTTACTAACCTAACTGTTCTAGTAAATGGGCCTTCACAGAGCTTTTGAAATCTCATATCTTATTAATTTTTTTGATGTATGTTGGCAAGGAATTCCAATCATTAATTGCTTTTTGAAAAAAAAGTTACATTATCTTTCCCATAACTTCTTGGGACCCTAAAATTGTACTGATTCGACCGAGTTGAATAAGAATGAATGTCTCGAACAGGTATAAAATTTTCTATCATATATGAAGGGCACTGGTTATTAACAATTTTAAAAACATGATTAAGACGTAATTGCTTATTTCTGTTTTCTACATTTAGTAAAGACATATTAGCAAGAATAACATTATTGACACTATCTCTAGGTCCCATACCGTGTATAAATCTAACAATTTTATTTTGACAAATTTGAAGCTTATTTTTAAAACACTTGTTCAGGCTCGGGTACCAAGAAGAACATGCATAATCAAGGTGACATTGTATTAGTGCTGAGCATAAATATTTTCTAGTCCTAAAATCTAAAACATTTGCTTGCCTATACAAAAACTTAAGACGTGAATTCACCTTTGTAAGAATACAATTAACAATAGATTCATCTGACAAAGAATCATCAATATTTAAACCTATATATTTGACAGATTTTGTGGATTCAATAGTATGTCCATTACAAACAATTTTAAACTCTTTAACTTGTTTCAGTTTACGTTTGGAACCAAAAATAAGACATTCAGTCTTTCCTAGATGAAGTGACAATTTGTTATCTACAAGCCAAGATGAACAAGACTCTAGTGTTTGTCCAAGTTTTTGAGAAATAATACTTGGATTTTTGTGAGCAAAAAGAATTGCACTGTCATCGGCATACAGAATAAGTTTACATTCTTGATCTATACTAATTCTCATGTCATTTACATAGCACAAAAATAAAAGAGGACCCAGGATGCTGCCCTGGGGAACCCCACATGTAACAGGCATGTAGTCTGATAAAATATTATCAACACTAACAGTTTGTTTTCTACCTTTAAGATAAGACATAAACCAGTCAGTATTAGAGATACCCATCAATTTCAATTTTCCACATAAAATATCATGGTCAACAGTATCAAATGCTTTTTGTAGATCTAACATTATCATGCCTGTGTATAAAGCTTTGGAATTATTGTTTCTGATATGATCCATAAGACGGATAAGACAAGTGTCATTCTAAAACATGACTGTAATTCATACAATAAACCATTATCAACTAAAAACTTTTCAAGTTGAGAATACACTGATTTTTCTAAAATTTTTGATGATCGTATGTATGTTATCGTAATTCATACTCGCTCTTAAATGTTTGATCTAATTCTAATTCTAATTTGATCTTATTCTAGTTTGATTTGAAGTATTTTAGTTTGATTTGATGTAAGTAGTAGGTTGATTGAGATGGATGCGCGTGTATTCTTGTTTGATTACTGACTAACTAACAAACACCTATGCGACTCGTAATAATTTAGTGGTGTTTAATCTAGGGTAAAAATATTGCTATGAGACGACAACGTTCATCAGATATTCGTACATAAGTTAGGCAAAATGGGCGACAAAATGACAGGTGAGAGCATGGGTTTCTAATTTTTTTATTGTTTCAAACAAACTTACTGTTAACGATGTTTGATTATAGATTTATTAAAAATTTGGATGATTTTTGACAATATCGTTCTTGCTTTAAAAAAAGTTGTTGGACAGTTTCAAAGCAAATTAGGTTCGTTATATATTTTCGCGATATTTAATGTTTGCACTGTTATGATTTATAAAGAAATTCCATATTATGAGTCCGAGGACCCACATGTTTGAAAAGAATGAGTCCCTAAGCAATATTTATGATTCCAAGAATGATGAGTTACAGAAGAAAATCCGTTTTTAACAACATATCATAATCATCATTGACGGGCAAGTGACAAGACATTTCTATTTTTAACAAGATAATAATATTATTTAATATGAATAAGGCAAAGCCTCAAAGCGAGCTCTTTGACAGAAATTATAGAACATTACAATTTAAACTCATCCGTGGCTACACATTTTATGTTTTCAATACACATAGAACGGCACACTTTCTGTTGCACTCAACACAACCACACACTATACGGCAATTTCATGTTTTATAATTATATGATATCTAAATTGAAGCCACTCACCAGGGGCAGCACGAAATACCCAAATATACCCAAATACACCCAAATATACCCAAATATTGCCCAAATATACCCAAATATTGCCTAAATATACCCAAATTCTGCCCAATTATACTAAAAATAAATGTTTTATCCTATAAAAGTGCTGTTTTTATCATAAATACAATATACACTTTCACTAAGATATAATCAACCATAGCCAAATATACATTTCCCTATCATTGTGTTTAGTCTATATGTACACCATTAAAGCTATTTTTCTTAAATAACATGGACACTTGTATATGATATGAAATTAAACAAAATTACACCTTAAAAATGTAAGTGTAGACAACAATTATCATATCTTGATTTAAAATTGCAAGTACATTCATAAAGAACATATATAGTACTGTAGATAAGCAAATGTCACAACTTTATTTTCTTACAACATCTTAACTGTCAATTTCAACGGAATGAATGAAAATTATAGCAGGCTATGTCATATTATATTTAATAAATATTTATTTATTTCTCATTATAATCTATATTTTATACAAACAAAAATAAATATTGCTATGTTTGGGTATATTTGGGTGTATTTGGGTATATTTGGGTATTTTGTGCCGCCGCTCACCAGAGTACATAGATGAGAACCATAATAGGGCATGGAACCAGATTATGGTTCGGGTAATATGGTTAAAATAATCGTTCATTTTTATTTTACATTTTCTGTTTTAAATTAAATTAAAAGTGTCATTCGGTATTTTATGCACTGCTTCCATTTATTCCAGTTCCCTGACCTATTATGGTTCCTATGCAGGACACCATTCTACGCATTCATTTTCAATCAGAATTCCTCCTCTTTTATCATTATCCTGTAATTCAAAAAGTTGCAATTTGTCAATTTCCCATTATTTTACTGTACTTCCGAAAGTTTTCAAAACCATCACTATCTAGCAGGTACTTGTGTTACTGTAAAGCTCGCTTTGCGAGCTGGCCCTTTGGGCCAGATCTTCGAGCTCACTAATTACACATTGTAGGTATGTTCTCAGACTTCCCGAAAGTTGAAAAAAACTGTCAGACATTTGGTCTGACAAACCATGAAAATCTGCCGGACCGAAACAAAATCTGTCGGACCAAATAAAATTGAACAAAATCAGAGAAAAACTTGTGTTTGTATTTCTAAGACACTTTTTGTTTTTTATTTTTTCGCCGTAAAAATCGGCACAATCCGTACAGCGCATTTTCATCTCCTCCCTGTCATACACCAATGATTCGTGGTTCTGCTTCCATTTTTCATTAAATTTTGTCTCAGGTCTATTCTTTTCATCCTTTTATTGCTGTTCTGCGCACTCTTCTGACGTAGATTTTCGTTTTTCCTAGGTTTGGCACCTTTAGCGACGCCATTTTGTATACATGCGGCTTGGATAAAAGTCGGACCGATCCGGAATAAAAAATTGTCGGACCTGATCAAAATTTATCGGACATGTCCGTCGGACCGACGTATTTCGGGAAGTCTGTGTTCTAAGAGTTATCAGAGAAACATAGTGATCAATCTTTGTTGTTGTTCTTGTTCTTCCTTTATACTGGCCACATTCATCTAACTGAAGTTTACAACCAGGTTAATGTGCAAGAGGGAAAGACAGAGTAAAATAGGGAGGAATATATCAGTGATTCTTTTTTCCAATTTCCAAAACAACCTGTGGCTTTCTGAAGGGGAAAATATAGCGCGATAAATCAGAAAAGAGGAAAACCTGAAATCAGATTTTCCAACATCTGAGATTGGAATATATTGACACATTTATATTTATAAAAGTTTCAATTTAATTGAACATGCATTGTACATAGCAGAAACTATCTATAGGGACAGCTTTCTGTCTTGCAGTCAATTAAATTTTTCAACTAGCTTATATAAGTCAGCTGCTGCTAAGTCATGTTTCTGATGAAGAACATGCACATGGTATTTCAGGGGAAATATAGCATTTTTGGAGAAAATATACCTACTTGGGCTAGGGGAAACAGCCTGTATTTGGCTGTAAAATATAGGGAAAAAAATCACTCCTATCAGGGCTCTACAAATCCTATAGTCCGACGTCCGGGACAACTCTAAAACCACTTCGGACAACTGACAATAATCAGAAAGTTAGTCCCGGACAAGTCAAATTTTGACAGATGCTTATCTTGGACAACTGTAAAAGTCTGTTTAATAATAAAACCCTACACAGCATGGTGCGTCGGTAATCTTCGCCCGAGGCTATTAATCTCAGCAATTGCTACGCTGATTAATTTCACATTGCCACAGGCAATAAAAATAGATAAGACACTACAATTTTGATAATAAGCTTAAAGACAAAGTCCAACATTATTATGGACATGTAAAAAACATTATTTAGTCACAGACTCGGTCTTTGAAGTTGATATTTTGACACAAGCAGACAGTAATTTGTGCCGTGAATTGCTCATTTTGAATTTTTTGTTTTAGGCTTTTTGATGAATTCCTAAGTGGATAAACAATAATAAAATATCCAAAAAGCATCTATTATGAATGTTTTCGAACATACAATAGCCAAAATAGTATAATTTATGAGGAAAACAGAAAAATTTTCATTTGTCACATATTTTCTCGATGCCGATTTTTTTTTATATAAATCGAAAGGCAGTTTTAATAAGTGTAAAGCTCTGCAGCTAGTAGAAAGATTAATAATATTTTGTTACTAATGAATCAAAAGCACTTTTGACATTGTTAAGATCAATAATGATGAGATTTGTAAGTATTTGAATAGTCTAATTCACTCTCCTATTTTATATTTCCCTGCCGGGTGATATGGACCATCTATTTCTTGTTTTCCATGTCCTTTGTGAAATGTGGAACTTCAGAGAGTATATGGCTGACTAGATTTAAGTTAGAATAATTTTACTTAAATTTTCAAGATCAAGGGAAAAAAATAAAACTGAAACAAAACATACACTGGCTATTGAACTTGAACAGTGCTGAAATGTAGGCCTACCTCAGGGAAGAGTGCTGAACAATCAAAAGTATTTCACTTGAAACAAAATGTTCTATTTTATACTAAATGAAATATAAAATGTAATTTAAAATTAATTGTATTTACTTCTTCTTTAGATATACATACTAAGCATACTGAACATTTATCGAGACTTGGACACTTGTGGTCAATTTTGGGACAACTCTATTTTGCTAGGTCAGTTGTCCTGGACAACTCTATTCCAAAAAAATTTGTAGAGCCCTGCCTATTTTCAAAACAACCTGTCTTTCTGAGGGGGGGGGATATAGCGTGATTTTTCCCCCTGTATTTTACAGCCGAATAAAGGCTGTTTCCCCAAGCTCAAAATAGGTATATTTTCCCCTGAAAAAGGCTATATTTTTCCCCTGAAATGCCCTGTGCACTTTTTCACCAGAACCATGACTTAACAGCATCAGACTTATTATATCAGCTAGAAGACAGAAAGCTGTCCCTATAGCCTGTGCTTATAATGTTCCATGCATGTTAAATTGAATAGAAATTGAAAATTTTATAAAATGTGTGGGTAAATTCCATTCTCAGTTGTTGGATTTTCCCCCTTTTCTGATTTATCGCGCTATGTTTTCCCCTTCAGAAAGCCACAGGTTGTTTTGAAAATTGAAAAAACAATTACTGTACCTACACATTTTATAAAATTATCAATTTCAAATCAAATTGACATGCATTTTACAAAGCAGAGGCTATCTATAGGGACAGCTTTCTGTCAGTCTTCTGGCTGATGCAAGTTAAATTCTGTAAGTCATGGTTCTGGTGAAAAAGTGTACAGGGCATTTTAGGGGAAAATATTAGCATTTTTAGGGGAAAATATACTTATTTTGGGCTAGGGGAAATGGCCTTTATTCGACTGCAAAATACAGGGAAAATATCATTGAAATAATTATATAAAAACTTGACTAAATGCGTATGACGAATCACTTCCGTAACGACAGCAGCATTCGACAATGCTTTAATCATACCCATTACGTAAATTTTTATACTTAAAGCCATGAAGTCAATATTTTTAGCCCAGTGTAATAGAATTTGAATGAAATTATTATACTTGTCCAACAGTATATATTAGAAATATGAAAAGCATTATAAACAAATTCAATATGTAGTTGAATAAAGTCAGTTATAGCATTTTTGATTTGAACTATTTTTGACCGTCAGTATGAAGTCAAGTACATTTTATGAAGGGCCAGTAAATTTGTATTATCCCAATTTCAAAACAAACTAGTGAAGTCTACAAAACCCTCTTTCAATCATGACATTTTACATGCATTCCAGAAAGTGATGTAGTGTATAATTACCAAATATGGTAAAGCATTGTGAAACAGTTTTGCCAAAAAGCTGCTCACTGGCCATTAACGTGCCTCATCCTTTGCTTCTGTTACTTTTTGGCAATTAGTACAGCTATATATTATAGTGATTTAGTATGGAAGTCATATATGCCTTTAAGAATGACAGTGACCCCACAGTTTACACATTTAGCATGTAGCATCCCCTTGTCTTACTCTACAAATGTGATATAAGTAATTCCTCGGAAGTAAAAGTTCACCCCGCCTTTAGGTCATGTAATCCATGTTGACTTGTATAGGATTTCAATGCCCAGAGCTTAAAAACATGTAGCATTTCTGAGCAGACCTCTTCAAGTATTTTATGAATCAGTACAAAAATCAAGGTCACATTGGCACTTGATGTAAAACTAAAAGCCTCAAGTCATAGGTTTGTGAAACTTACTAGTTATACCCCCAAAAACGAAGTTTGGGGGGTATATAGGAGTCACCCGGTGGTCGGTCGGTTGGACGGTCTGTCGGTCGGTCCAGACGTCCGTTGCATTTTCCTTGTCCGGAGCATAACTTGAAGACTAATGGTTGGAATTCTATATAACTACATACAATGGTCAAGCACATTGAGAGGAAGTGCAATGGTCAAGCACATTGAGAGGAAGTGCAGTGCACAAGAACCATAACTCCATCTTGAGTTATCACAGAGTTACTGCCCTTTGTTACTTTTCCTTGTCCAGAGCATGACTTGAAAACTACTGGTTGGAATTCAAAACAACTTCATACAATGGTCAAGCACAATAAGGGGAAGTGCAGAGCACAAGAACCATAACTCCATCTTGACTAATTACAGAGTTATTGCCCTTTGTTACTTTTCCATTGCTTTTTTGTCCGGAGCATAACTTGAAGACTAATGGTTGGAATTCAATATAACTTCATACAATGGTCAAGCACATTGAGAGGAAGTGCAGTGCACAAGAACCATAACTCCATCTTGATTAATTACAGAGTTATTGCCCTTTGTTACTTTTCCTTGTCCAGAGCATAACTTGAAAACTACTGTTTGGAATTCAGTACAACTTCATACAGTTGTCAAGGACATTAAAAGGAAGTGCAGTGCACAAGAGCCATAACTCCATTTTGACAAAATACAGAGTTATTGCCCTTTGATACTTTTCCTTGTCCGGAGCATCACTTAAAACGTACTGGTTGGAATTCAAAACAACTTTATTCAATGGTCAAGCACAATAAGAGGAAGTGCAGTGCACAAGAACTATAACTATATCTTCAGTATTTATAGAGTTATTGCCCTTTGTTCCTTTTCTTTGTCTTTCTGGACTTATTACAGAGTAATTCAATTAAACTTCATCAATGGCCAACCACATTGAAAGGAAATGCAACATACAAAAACCACAACTATCTTTAATTGCCCACAACCATAACTCTATTTTTCAATTCTTTTACAAGGTATTCTGTTACTAGTAACATCCTCATTTCCGAGCAGTCTTGTGGGGGTATTAATCACATTTAGTGATAGTTCTAGTTATAAATTTATAGTACTATTATGACATGTATTTATATACATGCAACACTTGATGATAATAACCTTCATGAATTACACATTTATACCAGTAGGTAAGTACATGTATAATGTAAATATGCCATTGTAAAGGCAAATGAAGTGAGGGGTGTGTGTGCCCTATGGACATACATGTATGTCAAGTTGATTTATTTTATTTTATTTTTTTGTAGAGAAGCAAATTAAGAAGAAGATGAAGATGAAATTGAAAAAAGAAAAAATGTTGAAAGGACTACAAGGGAAATCAAATGAAAACAGTAAGATTTTAATTTCTTCTGCCTTGTCAAAGACCTCAGACTTCTAAAAATCTATAATAATTTGCTGCATGTAATATACAAATGTAGGTGTTTTGCAAGGAAAAAATTTTACACTTAAAAGCTGGTTATCAACTTCAGTTTTGCTATTGTGATGAGCGGGTCACTCTTGTTTTTATCAAAAAAGTAAAACTTTCGGGGGGGAAAAAAAAAAAATTTGTTTTTTTAAAAGGGAAAAAGATTTCATTTTCCCTTTTTAAAAACTTTTTTAAATTTGAAGGGATTTTTTAAATGTTTCCCCAAACATAATAAAAAAAACACAAGAGCCTCTGATTCAGTAAATTTTTTTTGCGTTTTTTTTTGGCCAAATATTCGATCATTTTCCCCAAGTAAAAATATTTGTTTTATATTTTTTTCCCAATCCACGGGAAAAAAACCCCTTTAAAAAGTTACAAAAAAAAAATTTATTTTTTAAAAAATTTTTTTAAAATTTTGGGATGTTAGGGTGTTAAAAGTTTGAAATGCCACCCTTTTAACCAGAAATTTTCCTATGCATTATTGAATCACTCCCAAAAATTTAAAAGGGCAATGCATTTTTTCCCAAAAAGTTTAAAATAAATTCCCAGGGGTTTTGGCCGTCGGTCATGTTCCCCTCAGGCAAAATTTCGCCGTGACAATTAATCACATCTTTATCACAGTGTTAAATTTTGATTCAAAAATAACTTTTAGATAAAGCAAAAAAAAGTTACATTGAAATATATACATCAGTGAGTTTTTTTTCTAATTTCCATAGCAACCTGTGGCTTTCTGAAGGGGAAAATATAGCACAATAAATCAGAAAAGCGGAAAACCTGAAATCAAATTTTCCAACATTTGAGGAATATATTGACAAATTTTATAAAAGTTTCAATTTCAATTTAATTTAACATGCATTGTACATAGCAGAAACTATCTATAGGGACATATTTCTGTCTTGCAGTCAACTAGCTTATGTAAGTCAGCTGCTGCTAAGTCATGTTTCTGATGAAGAACATGCACATGGTATTTCAGGGGAAAATATAGCATTTTGGGGGGAAAATATACCTATTTTGAGCTAGAGGAAATAGCCTGTATTCGGCTGTAAAATATAGGGGAAAAAATCACTGTGCATGTATGTAACAGAATGTTACATGGCCTAAATTCATTTGAATTACTTTATAGATACAAGTCCAGTCCAGTCCAAAAAGCAAAAGAAAAAGATGAAACAACTTGCAGTAGATAAAGGTTTGTACAGAAATAAATAGTAGCTTGATAATAGATGCTTAAATTATGAAATTAAAAATGAATTTAACACTTTATTTCTTAAGTTATGGTCGATAAATGAAGAGGCTAAATAAATATATTAAAATTTTAATTGTAGCGAAACTTTATATGTTTCAAGCAGTGACTTTATCTCTCTATAAAATCATTAATTGTCATTTTGATGCACACCATCATGTATCATTTGGACTAAGCCTTTTGATTTAACTCCTGGCATCCATACTCATACTGTACTGACATACTGTACTCCATACAGTGATTTTCTTAAGTCACCGGCAGGAATATATTATTTCCCTAATGTAGTGAGACTGAGAGTATTTCAGTAATAAATACTTATAATTTTTTATGCTCCCCGAAAAAATTCAGGGGAGCATATAGTCGCCGGGTTGTTCGTCCGCATGTACGTCCCAAATTCGTGTCCGGCCCATAACTTTGATATTTGAAGTCGGATTTTACAACTACTTCACTATTTTAAGACGATGTGTCGGCCGCACAAACATTTGGTCGCTACCTTGAAGGTCAAGCGTCACAGCATGACCTTGCAGCTAAATTGTGTCCGGCCCATAACTTTATTTGAAGTCGGATTTTACAACTATTTCACAGCAATGATCACAATATTGAGACAACATGTCGCACATGTCATTCGTGTCACTACCTTGAAGGTCAAGGTCACAGCATGACCTTGCAGCAAAATCGTGTCCAGTCCATAACTGCGTTATTTGAAGTCAGATTTTTCAACTATTTCACAGAAATTATCACCATATTGAGACGACGTCACATGCAAAATTTGAGTCGCTACCTTGTTTTAACACTTTGAACTTTTGTGACATAAGTCTAACACTACAAGAGGTATACTTTCCTGTGTCCAAAACCTATTCAGGGAGTATCACCTGGTTCAACCAGTTCTTGTTGTAATTTAAAGCTAGTACAGTGGTGTTTCTATGTGTATAGATATCACAAAAGCAAGGAATGTAACTGTAAAAGGTAGTGGCCTTAGTGTGTAGTACCAAGATTTTGTATTCTTAGTTTTGTCTTTGCATGTTGCAGTTTTTTGGGATGGAGGAATGGTAGGGAAAACAAGAACCTAAAGCCAATCTTTTCGTCATTATGAAAGTCTGTATTTGATGAGTTAATGTATAAATGTATGCATTTTGTAGGTGGCGTCAAACCTCTTTTACTGTTATTTAATTTAAACAAGTGTATTTTTTTCTTGAAGGTCCAAACTCATCTGTTGAAATTGTGAACCCGGTTGATGAGCAGCAGAATAAAAAGAAAAATAAGAAGAAAAGGAAACTTGAAGATAGTAAAGGTAATTATGTAAAAAATTTGGTTTTGACTTATTTAAGCATTTTAATTGATATTTGTAGCACATTTACTGCACATTTGTAACACCAATTTTCATTGGACAAACTGGCATTAAACTTATATTACATATACCTGTCACACATATGTTGCAGATTGATGAATTTGTCTTTATTTTATTGAAAAAGAAAACAGTAACAAGTGCAGTATTATATGATATTTGTTATAAAGAATTTAGTTTAAACATATTTATTCTCAGAATATGTACATAATAACATTTGAAATATATACACATACAAAATTTGACAATATTTAAAGAAGAGGATATGAACGAAAGAATTTAGAGAGGTTATATTATTAGTTATAAAGATTTTTGACAGGATATATGGCCCCATGATATCTTGTTTTAAGTTTTTGCACATGTACTTTGCTTCAGTGCAAGTAGTTCTGTTTTTGTCAAAGTTTTTGAGGGTAAAAGTTGATTCATGTCATATTGGTGTGTTTTTAACAATGTTTGGGGAAGATGTTGAGTTATGATTCAGGGAAAATAGTTGTGTTGTTTGTTGGAGGTAAAATTTGAGTTATGATTTAGGGCATGTAGTTGCGTATTTTTGTTAAAATTGTGGGTAAAAATTATGTCATAACAAAGTAAGTATGCAATTAATAAAGAGAAGTAAAAACAATATTGATTAATCACTATAAATCATTAATGTATATACTAGTTCTATAACTTTTGTAGTTACTACAGAGGATGTTAGCAAGAAAAAAATGAAGATACAAAAAGTGGAGTCTGAAAGTTCAAGTGAAGACGACAGTGAAATAGAACAAGTTGACAAAGATGTTAATGTGATACAAGAAATTAAAAAAGGAAGTAAAGTCAATAATGCCAAAAAAGTGACAGATGAAAGTGATGATGATGAAAGCGATGATGATGAGGAGGAGGATATTGCTGATGATGAAAATGATGAGGATGATGTGGCTGATGAGAATGAATTGGAGGAAGAAGATGAAGATGGTAGTGAAGGTGATGATGATAATGATGGTGAAGATGATGACGATAATGATGGTGAAGATGATGAAGAAGAAGGTACAGACATTAAACCTCCAGAAGAACAAACTTGTAAGTGTTAAACTGTTGTCTTAATGAAATAATCAATTATATTGTGAAATATGAAAAGCTTTATTGGATCAAACTGATCAATTTATAACATAATTTTGTTCCGTGTGCACTGAATTAAATAAGTGTATTTAATAGGCTAAGTTTCATGCACAATGTATGTGCATTAATTTCACAGCATTTACCCCTGATCATCAGGCTGTTAGAATCCCATCTATTGATTTTCCTGGGAGAGTCGTTCATCCTGCTTTTAGCAGCCCATATGGCATCACAGAATTTCACCACCTTCATTAGGTACCCATTTTCATCAGGGTGAAGTGAAGCAATGTTGTGTAAATTTCTTGCTCAACTAAATTATCAGTGTCTCTGAGACTCCAACCAGGGACCTCTTGATTCCAAAGGGCAGGTCATTGAACCACTGCTGTCTACTATATAAAAAATAAGAGTTTGAATATTAACAAAGCAAAGTTAAAAAAAGTGGTTTTCATATGTAAAGTTTCCTTGGCTTTACTAGAAGTAGTCATTTTCACAATCAAAGTTGGAAAATACTGATTTCTCCATCTGTGTATTTGAAAGCATCAGATTCGTTTGTAGTAAAATTGAGGTTTTACATATTAGAAGAAATAACCTGGATCACATGATGAAAGAAGATTATTATTACATGTACAAAGTCAATATAGTTCCAAAACAGTATTTGATGTTTTCAGTGCCTGGGAGCTCTCTTGGTGCTGGCATAGTAACGGATAAATCTTTTAAGAGTCTGGAAGGGCGAGTGTGTGCCAACACTCTTGATGGTATAAAGGATATGGGGTTTACACATATGACTGAAATACAAGCTATGGCAATACCACATCTACTGGAAGGGAGGTAATTAAGTTCAGGTTTAATCTTGTATTTTAAATTAAATTTTCCCAAATTATTTTGTTTGATGGACTTAAACACAACAATTATTAGGACATGCAGCATTAATATTTAAATCAAGAACTTGCTGAATTTTTGACATTCTGTTTTTAACAATGTGTAAAAAACCAACAACAATAACAAAAAAGACAAGGTACTCACTACAAAAAAAATCAAAAGATTTCATTAGCTTTTCTTGGACTGATCATAAAATCAATATTGGTATATGTGATTTTTATTGTTTTTATAGCTTAAAGATCCTGTATGTTGTAATTAAGGATGTAACCACACTTAAGTAAAATTTTATATATGTATATAATTATTCTTCTAAAACAATTTTCAAACATCCTGGAGATCCAAGAATATATTAAATATGTACTGCTAATGTTTATACGCATTTTATGTGATCATTAAAGTATATGCATTCATTTATTATTGAAAACTTTGGCTCGACTCTATAGAAAATAAATTTCTAATTACCTCCCTTTATTTACATGAAATGAAAATTGGTAATATCTTTACAAATAATGCTTTTTAAAACCCACAATTTTAATATTTCTTCTTTGAACTCAAAATTTTTTTTAAAAATAAAAAAATTTAAACAGTCTTTAAATAAATGAATATTTAAGAATGATTATATATTTCAGGGTTTGATGGGGCGAAAGTGGAAGGGTTTTGGATTTCTTTTTACCCGCCGTAAAAACTCCTTATAATCTTAAATTCACCAAGAAAATGGAATTTTTTATGAAATTTTTACGTTTTACAAAGACTTTGCTTTTCCCTTTAAAAAACTATAAGAATACTGGGGTGATGATAAAAATTGTGATTGTTTTATCACAGACTTTATAGTATATATTTCTGAATGAATGTATACATGATGTATTGAAATATAACCCTATAACAATACTAGCAAATTGTAAAAATTTCTCTTTTAATACATGATATTCAGCTTACAGTGAATTTATATTTTGATAATTTCAAAATATAATTTTCACTGTAACTGTATAATATTTGAATGGGGATGAAAAGACTGTATCAAAACTAAGTGGAGGTGTCATCAGAAATACACTCCCATCATAAGAAAAATGTGCTTGGTTACTAGAGGCAAGTGAAATTCTGCACCTTTGTTAAAAATGTACCTAAATGCGTGAAATTTTACAGAATTTTTTCTTCAACAAGACCATGTTAACGTCATGATTTGATGATGTCATGAATGAGACAGCATTTTGTTAAGTGGTAAAAATGATCTGACAGCAATTTTTTGCCTTATATAAGTGGTACAGAATAACAGACCCATTTACAATATCGAAGGTCTTCCACAATTTTCAGAATGGGTCCGACAGACCCGTTCACATTTCTGCAAAAATTCACAAACTACATAAATTAAGCTTAAAATTTCGTTTTTTTCCTGGCTACACCACTCTTGAACATATTACATCGAATGTTTATTCTGTGTAATGTATTTTTAACTAAATATATCATCTATATCTATAGTTTTTTTCTAAAGTTTTTGTTGTTGTTTTTTTCCAAAATATGTGTTTTCTCCTTTGAAAGCATAAAGGAAGTCCTTAATGTCATTTGTGTGTCTTTAATATAGTAGATATAGCCATGCAATAAGAGGATTTTATTTCACACTGTGACTTTCCCAACACTGTTAAAGGGAGAGAATCCTTTTGTTTTTTTAATATAGGCTATTTTTTTTCTCTGTGATACATGAAATGTTTTGAGTTCAACATTTCTTATTGTTGTTCTTTTGTATTTTAATATTAATGATTATTCTTGTAAGCTATTTTCAGATATAAAAAATCTACTTAGAATTGCTTTTGTTAAATTTTCCTTTATTTTCAATTTTTCTTCCAGCAAGTATTTAATTAGAAAAAAATATTTAGGGACAAAATGTCACTGTTATAACTATCTGAGTTTATAGAAGTGGTTAACTCTTGATAAAGTTTCCCTATTGATGATTAGTTAAAGGTACCTACAGTGACCTCAGATTTCAAAAACATCAAAAACAAATTAATAACTTGCACAAATATTCGTGACAATATAGATGTTAATATGCATATTAGTGTAATCTGGCATTAAAACAGTGTTAAGAAGAACTTTATTTGTACATTAGTCTTGTTATTCACAATATAAGAAGAATTGATTAAGTTTACTCTTTGTATAATTCTTATGAAAAATAATTTCTTCAATAATTTCTGCATATCATTTAATCATTCTGCTATATTTCTAGGTACTGGTGTAATTGTCATATCTCCTACACGAGAACTGTCCATGCAGACTTTTGGTGTATTGAAGGAGTTACTAAAATATCATTGCCACACCTACGGCCTCATTATGGGCGGGACCAACAGACATGAGGAGGCGAAAAAATTGAGTAAAGGTGTCAATATACTTGTAGCCACGCCTGGTCGACTTCTAGATCATTTACAAGTAAGAAAAATTGCCATAGTTTTTTCTTAAAAGTTTACAATATGGACATGTTTCTTTTCTAGATTTTGTTTATGTTTCATCTACAATTCAAATCATTTTGAAAAAAGCTCTTATCTGTAAATTTTACAGGAAGTCACAGACTTCGCCCAAATAACATGAATGTTGCAGTAGGCCACACAAAGTCTCCCTTTTTTTTTACATATACATATTTTTAACATAAATAAAAACTTCACTAAGATTAAAAAAAATAAAATGGAACAGTTCTAATTTTCAAGCATTTTTAGCCTGACAATTCAAAGAATAGTGATAGCTATTGTACTCACCCAGGTGTCAGTATCACACTCCGGTTTTTATGTGCAAGTTGTTAATTCCAAAACTACTAATTGGGACTGGGTTGAAAATTCACAAACTTATTTGAGGGTATAATAGAACAAGAGCTGTCAGTAAGATAGCCTACTCGACTATTCTCAGTGATTGATAGTAAAACTAGAACTAGATGATGTACAATTTTCTAGGATAAAAAAGGACCATAGTTTTGTCAAAATCCATGTTCAGAGTTATGTGCCTTGGATAGTTATCTTAATATTTTTCAGTGTGTATATTTGTGTACATTCTGACGCCCCTGTTATGATTGTACTACAGCTTTACAGCTTATAGGTGATTGGATGACCTTGTGTTCAACTCATAAAATACTATTTCAAAGATTGGACACAAACCTGCATGGGTACATGTTTGTAGTTACAGAAAAATATTAGTATTTCATAGACCAGACACAAACCTGCATGGCTACATATATGGGATTACAAGAAAATATGTCTTGTTTATATGTGTTTGAAAAACAATGAAATTGATGAAATGATAATTACAGAATACACAGGACTTTATGTACAAGAATCTACAGTGTTTGATAATAGATGAGGCTGACCGTATCCTTGATGTCGGCTTTGAAGAGGAAATGAAACAAATCATCAAACTTCTACCAAGTAAGTCTTAAATATATTATATTTGTTTTGTTCATTTTAATGCTAGTTTATTTCGCCATATGACCTATACTGTGTGACGTAAAACCAAATTAAAATGTCAGGTGTAATAATTGTAGAAATGGTAAATTTATGTCAGTTGTAATAATTGGAGGAATGGTATATTTATTTCAGAGAGAAGACAGACAATGTTGTTTTCAGCTACACAGACAAGAAAAGTTGAAGATTTAGCAAGAATATCACTGAAGAAAGAGCCATTATATGTCGGAGTTGATGACAAGAAAGATCAAGCCACTGTTGATGGTTTAGAGCAGGTATGAAAAGTAAAGAAGCACTATTACATGTGCAATTATACTTTATTCTTATTTAATTGGTTGATGGCTCTTTTGTCTGTCTGTCTGTTTGTAGATGATTTTTACCCTGGTCATATCATTTTGATTGTAAGAACCTTCATAGGTTTTCCAGTTGAATGATTTTGGCTGAGTTATGTACCTTGAATAAAAAAAGCATTTTGACCTCATCATCAACAAGATATTTGCGTGTTACTTTACACACTTATTGAAGTCATAATTGACCAGAAAAGCCACTGATATTTCTTATAAGTAGGAATTTTAATGAAATATTTCAGGGCTATGTAGTGTGTCCATCAGAGAAGCGTTTTCTGCTGTTGTTCACATTTCTCAAGAAGAATCGTAGGAAGAAGATGATGGTGTTTTTGAGTTCCTGCATGGCGGTCAAATTTTACAATGAACTGTTGAACTATATAGATCTACCAGTCATGTGTATTCATGTAAGTATAAGTGTATTATTTTTCTCTCCTATAGTGTAGCCGATATATTGAAGGGTAAAAATCAAGGACATTCAATTGTTAGATACAGAGTGATTCTCATGACAGTAAAGTGATCATTGCAATCAATTTGTCCTTAAATCATAAACAATCATTATAGACTTTACTAACCTGTGATAAAATTACAACTTATACTATGATTCCCAAATTAACATCTCACATCCAGTCTCAGTACAATATAGCTTTCACAGGTCTATTGCATTGTATCCATCACAGGTTGATTGCAATATAGTATGTAGGCCCAAAAGTGACATATGTGTGTTTTTATTTATCTTGTGTACACAAAATACTATGCCGTGGCCACGAGTTAATAAGTTGTAGTTAATAAGTTGTGGGCACAAGTTACAATGTTGTGGCCACGAGTTACTAAGTCATGGGCATGAGATAAATAAGTCGTGGGAACGAGATACTATGTCGTCGCCACAAGATAATTAAGTCATGGGAACAAGATACTCATACAGGACTAAAATCATGCAAAAAATCTGTTTTATTTTTAGTTTATTGTGCCCCCACATTAGTGGCGGGCATTTAGATTTACCCTTGTCCGTTCGTTCGTCCGTCCTTCCGCCCGTCCGTTCACTTTTGTGTCGCACGTAACTAAAAAAGTATTTGACCTAGAGTCATGAAACTTTACAGGAATGTTGATCAGCATGTGTAGTTGTGCACCTGGGTATTTTCGTGTGCATATTTTTAGTATTTTTAGAGTTATTGCCCTTGACTTAGTAAAATTTTGCAATTTTCAACTTGTGTCGCATGTAACTCAAAAAGTATTTGACCTAAAGTCATGAAACTTTACAGGAATGTTAATCAGCATGTGTTGTTGTGCACCTGGGTATTTTCGTCTGGATATTTTTAGTATTTTCAGAGTTATTGCCCTTGACTTAGTAAAATTTTGCAATTTTCAACTTGTGTCGCATGTACCTCAAAAAGTATTTGACCTAGAGTCATGAAACTTTACAGGAATGTTGATCAGCATGTGTAGTTGTGCACCTGGGTATTTTCGTCTGGATATTTTTAGTATTTTCAGAGTTATTGCCCTTGACTTAGTAAAATTTTGCAATTTTCAACATGTGTCGCATGTAACTCAAAAAGTATTTGACCTAGAGTCATGAAACTTTACAGGAATGTTGATCAGCATGTGTAGTTGTGCACCTGGGTATTTTCGTCTGGATATTTTTAGTATTTTCAGAGTTATTGCCCTTGACTGAGTAAAATTTTGCAATTTTCAACATGTGTTGCACGTAACTCAAAAAGTATTTGACCTAGAGTCATGTAACTTTACAGGAATATTGATCAGTATGTGCAGTTGTGCACCAGGTATTTTCGTCTGGATTTATTTAGTATTTTTAGAGTTATTGCCCTTGACTTAGAAAATTTTTGCAATTTTCAACTTGTGTCGCAAGTTACTCAAAAAGGATTTGACATAGTCATTAAACCTTATGGGCAGGTTGCTTAGCATATTTAGATTTGCACCTGGGGTTTCACTTGTGGATTTATCCAGTATTTGTAGAGTTATTTCCCTTGACTTAGTAAAAAGATTGACAGATCAGTGGTGCGTGGGGGCACCCGTGTCCTATGGACACATTTCTAGTTTATTTTTATTTTCCATCATTTGATATCCTGTCAAACCTTCTAAAATAGCTGTTGAATATTTTGTTCCAGAACATTTTATTTAGTTTACATACAATAAATGTGTATTAAATTACATATACATTCTATGCAACAAATCCTTCAAGATTCTACCATTATGCTATGAAAACAACATAATTTTTACGCTTTTTCAAATATTTATAAAATATTTCATCAGATATATACATTATAAGAGCTATATAATTATAAGGAATTTTACAGCTCCATCAGGGAACTAAATAACTTGTAGAGTGCTTAGTAAATGCTTATGTTTACCTGAGATAAATTCATAGGCAAAAAAGTTTAGCTTCAGTCAGTAAAAAGTTATGTAACCTAATTTTGGAGGTAATTTTATAATGCCAAACAATGTCTGTCTGTCACTTTTGTTGGTAATTAATTTCTTTTTTCAAGATTTATGTTCACCTGTAGCACTTAGAAGATAGGTATATCTACAATACCTTGTTTTATTTATCAATTCTTCAGTTTTTGGAGGGAGAAAAAGCCAGGGAAATATCCTGATTGATGGCTTGTTATTGGATTAATTAGAAATATTGAGAAAAGAAACTTGCATGTGTTTTCCATGTGTGATTGCCACTTGAATGATGTAATGTAATTTTGTACCAGAATAATAGAGGTTTTAAAACCCTGGTAATTAGGGATTCAGTTTGTTTGAAATCTCACTGATTTATGAGGCAATGAAAGATTTCAAAAATATTTACAGTACAGGTAATCAGTGGTAAGAGCAACGGTGATTTTAGATTTATAATAACATTTTACTGGTGTACAATATACCTGTATTCAGAGAATTTATTCAGTTAATGTATATGAGATACTTTTGTTATCTAGCCCAAGGTGATTTTACACGTTACTTAGCAACATTTAGAATGCAAACTAATCTTCAATTCTATTTTTCCAAAATTCCTCTGAAAATCATAAATTTTATTTTATTAAACTGAAAAAGGGTAGTTGAAAAAAGGGTATAATGAAAACTATTTTTATATTTTCAGGGTAAACAGAAACAGACTAAACGAACACAAACATTTTTCCAGTTTTGTAACGCAAAAGAGGCGATTTTGTTATGTACTGATGTTGCAGCTAGAGGGTTAGATATACCAGCCGTTGATTGGATCGTACAAGTTGACCCACCAGATGATCCTAAGGTTATTCTTATATAATATAATAGCCACGCCATGACAAAACCAACATAATGGGTTTGCGACCAGCATGGATCCAGACCAGCCTGCACATTTGAGCAGTCTGATGCTGTTTGCTATTAATTTCTCTACTTGTTATAGGGTTTGTAAGCGAACATCATGGATCCTGATCAGACTGCGCGGATGCGCAGGCTGGTCTGGTCTGGATCCATGTTGGTCGCAAATGCACTATGTTGATTTTGTTGTGACGCGGGTCATATATTACATAGGCTTGATGTGTCTTTCTTTATTATATACTTAAAAATGAAATAATGATGAAATAAACTGTGTATTTTCATTTTCCATATTTTCACTGTAAAAATTTATTTTTCAATGCAGTAAATCATAGTTTCCATATTTTCACTGGTATCTTGCCAGACAACTTTTTATCTTAATTCAGCGGAGCCAATACTTAAAATTTAAAGAGACTTCTTAAGCAAAAAGATTCATGTAATGATTTACATCTTATGTGCAATTAATGATGGACTTTTGCAGTATGTATCACCATATTGCAACATCATGACTTCACAATATTTTACTTTAAAATATGTTTTAAAAACTTTCATAAAAACTAGCATGAATCTTTAGGCATGCTGCTTTAAATTTTGGTTTTTATCCTTGGTAAAGGGTACTTTGATAGGCTGAATATTGAAACCTTTGCTGTGTAGATCTTATAATATTGATTTAAAGCACCAAAATAAGTGCTGCTCTTAACAATGACTATATAGAATAGAATGCTTTGAGAAGGCAGTTTCCATCCTGTTTTGCTAAAATTTAAATCAGTTACTGTCACTACATATGTAGGCAGTTGCTTGTAATGTACAGAATCTAGATTAAGAATATCTATAACAGCTTGCATACTGAGTTACATGTACATTTAGTATAGCTATAACATCGCTACTTCTGAATTGACATGTGACTATTCCTTCCTACCTGAAAATTATATCCACAAATGTATTTTAAATCTTGTGACATAACAAAATACACATGATTATTTTATGTTTATTACAGGAATACATACATCGAGTAGGCAGGACAGCGAGAGGGGAGGGCGGAGTTGGTCACGCATTGTTAATATTAAGACCAGAGGAACTTGGATTTCTGCGTTTCTTAAAACAAGCAAAAGTCCCTCTGAATGAGTTTGAGTTCTCATGGAGTAAAATTTCCGACATACAACTGCAGGTTTGATGGATTTTACTCTGTTCATGCTAACTTTGCTATCAGCTAATGCTTTCTGTTTTCAATGTGGCTAACCACTAGTTATTTAAAAAAAATCTAAAAATTGAATACAAAATATGTTTACAGTTTGAGAAATGTGTATATATTTATAATTTACTTGACCCTGCAAATGCATTAATGATTATGCAAAATATTACAGAATTTTTAAGTTTTGCCACCAAAATTCTTCCCTGTTTTTATTGGTGTTTAAGAAATTTCTAAAAAGGCTATTTATCTCCTCGAGAAAAGTTTTTGTGTATTCAGATTTTGTTCATATTGAACATATTTTTTTTTTAGCTGGAAAAATTAATAGAGAAGAACTACTTCCTGAATAAATCAGCCCACGAGGGTTACAAGTCATATGTTCGAGCGTATGCCTCGCACAGTTTGAAGAATATATTTGATGTGAATACACTGGATCTCCAGAAAGTGGCATTGTCATTTGGTTTCAAGACTCCGCCATTTGTAGATCTGAGTATCCTTTTACCATAACCAGTGACCTTCTATATTTTTATAATGGATCTGTCCAGCTTTGAATTTGAAACAGTCCATTCAAAATTCAAGGGATTTCAATATCAAAATACAAAAATTAAGCTGCCAACAGTATGGAGCTGGGTCAGACTACACGGATGTGCAGGCTGGTCTGCCTATACTGGTGGTAAAGGCTGATCACTGTTGGTTTCAGTAAGCTAAGGCTTAAACCTGATGGCAGAATCTGATACTGGTCTGCACTGTTCGCTATTCAGTCAGTACATATTTCAAAATTTTCCTCTAAATATGAAGAATTGTATTGTTCAGATTAAAAGACTGACAAATCCACTTAAAAGTATTTAGTGGGGTATTGATTAATTAATATTTTCATCAGATAGTGACCAAGTTTCATTCTGGATGGATTTTTAGTTGCATAAACAATATTTGGCTCGAACTACCGATCCCTCGAACAAATTTGCACAGGACCTCGGAGTTTGAGCAAACAAGGTTTGGATGTACATTTATATATAAAATTGGCATTTTTATAGCTAAAATGCTTTCTTACTTCTTTCCTCACAGTAAACTTTGTAATGTAAACATAATGGCAGCAGATACCCATTAATCAAATTCCGTTTCTCTCCAAGTAAAATGCCCAGTCCCTTGAAATTTGAGTTAGAGAGTCAACTGTAGTTAATTTAGGGCAGATTAATGATTTTGCCAAACTATTTGTTTTTGAATTGTTGATAGGATTATCTCCACAATACTTGTTTTGACTGCATGACCATATCAAATGGTATGCAGTTTACTCTACTTAATTGTGTGAGACTGCATGAATACTATCATAATGGGAGTGACTGCATGTCTAACTTTTTTAAGTGTTTATTAAAATCTAATGATATATATGGAAATTATGATTGTTTATCTGCATCATTTATGCTGGTACCAGTTTCCTTAACTGTATATTAGATGTGCATGGTAGTAAAAGTCGGGGCAGTGGTGGAGCCAGAAATAAGCAAGGAGGTGGGGCATTTGGATACCAGCGTAGTAAACACCAGTTCAAGTCAAAGGTTTTCAAGCAAGTTGGTGGAAACAAGAAATCTGGAAGCAAGAGGCAGTTTTCACGGTGACAGGACTATATGTGCCGGACAATCTGACAACATAAATCATTGTTACAGATAAAATACGTACCTGTACAACGAAATTATCTGTTTAAATGCAGCTACATAAAATTTGATATTTTTTATTTCATCATACGAAAATTAGAGAGCTATTAAAGAGACTTAAAATAATGTTGTTGCTGATTAAGAAGATTCACCATGGCTGGGCAGAAAGTTAACCTGTCCTTTTCCTTTGGGTATTTTATTGAATATTTAAAGATAAAACATCTGAGGGAGCTAATTTTGGTCCATAGTGTGTCAATTCCTGCAATACATTGACAAGCAATATAGAGGGAGTAGAGACAGGTGGACAACTTGATGATCTGAAAACTAGAATAAAATGTATGATGTTTATATTACACATTTATTGCTGGTTTAGATCAATATTGATAATGCCATTGTATAATTTCACTACTTATTATGACTTCTTGTAAAATAAGATACATGTTGACATGGTTGACATGTATGTGTATTATTGTGAAAACTATTTTAATGAGCCTTCTTATTTGAATATAACATGCAAGTTTAATATCTTAATTGCAATTTAAAACATTTGATTTATGTCAAAGTCAGTATATTAAAAATACAATGGATATTAAATATGCAGGTCATAAGATATTGTACATTTTCATATATATGTAGTTTGTTGGTTTTTTTTTCATTTTGGCTATAGTGAGACATAGCCTTAATTTCAGCCGCGTGTGAGCCAATGACATACTTGGGTGTTTGGGCAAATTGGTAATTGATTGATTGAAAATATGTATATATGTAAGATCTTGTTCTTATTGCGAAATAAAACATTTTTAATCCATCAAATTGTTTATTACTTGTTATAGATTTTGAAGATTTGTCAGAAAAAAAAAGTGATATTTCAGAAAAAAATTCGTTTATAATTTAGAGAAAAAAATGAGCTGTGCCATGACAAAACCAACCAACTGCGTTTGCGACCAGCATGGATCCTGATCAGACTGCATAGAATGCGCAGGCTGGTCTGGATCCATGCTGGTCGCAAACACATTATGTTGGTTTTGTCATGGCGTGGCTCAAATGGAGATTTCCCCAGAGTAGTGATTAGCAAATGAATGATTCTGAAAATGTTTATCGGCAGGATAAAAAGAAAATTTAATGGGGAAAAAGTAAAAGAAATCTAATAAAGGCAGTAATTTGTTATTGAAGGCATATAGTTTATATTATGTGAAGAAGACAGATGTGACCATGTGGATTATATTTAACGGTACTCTTAACATTTAGTCACAGCATTTAATGTCCATGATAGAAAAAGGGTGAATAGAAAGAGCTAATTATACGTCTTTCTTGCAGCATGTTTTACCAATAACGATTCAGTGTGGATCATGGCAGAGTAATTATTCCACTAGTATGTGAAATTTGACCAAGATACTGAGAAGACTTGGCTTTAAACAAATCACTGCATCTTTAGTTCTGTTTTTTTTTTTTTTGCAATTTGTATACATATAGTGAATTCGTATTTTCTATGGAAGTCAAAATACTACTTTGTTTACATTTTTCTACCTTTGTGACACATAACTGCATGTTCAGCGCTACATAGTTAAGCATATAACGTGCTCTTAATCCATTATTTAAACATGTTTGATATTCTAAAGATTATGGCACAATGTGCCTTAAATATTACACCATTGCTCATATTTAGTTGAAATAGAAGGTGCATTCATTTTGTCAACACTAGAAAGAATGATAAGAAAGCACATGAAATACCAGTAGTATGATGAAAACAAAAACAAGTTGAACCGGGAGATGCTCCCTGAGAAGGTTTTAGACACAGGAAAGTCTAAAAAAATGAACAAAGGGCAAAAATTCCAAAAAATTAGGCAAGGCAGAGTTATGATTTTTCGCACTGCACTTCTATTCAATCTATCTATAAAGTTTTGTGATGATATCTCTTACAGTTTCAGAGTTATGTCCCGGGTAAAATTCAAAGTGTAAAATTGAACAAAGGGCAATAAATCCAAAATTAGACAAGGCTGTGTTTAGGTTCTTAAGCATTCTATCCAATGAGATCTATCTACCTACAAAGTTACATATTGATATCTCTAATAGTTTTAGAGGTATGTCAAAAAGTAAAAATAAACAAAGGGCAATTACTTCAAAATAAGGCAAGGCAGAGTTATGGTTCTTAAACACTGCACTTCTACCCAATGAGACCTATCTACCTACAATGTTTCATGTTGATATCTCTTATAATTTTAGAGTAATGTTCCGTTCAAAGTGTCAAAATGAACAAAGGGCAATAACTCCAAAATTAGGCAAGACAGAGTTATGGTTCTTTAACAATGCACTTCTTCTCAATGAGATCAGTTTCATGTTGATATCTCTTATACTTTTCGAGTTATGTCCCCAACAAAGTTCAAAATGTTAAAATAAACAAAGGGGAATAATTCAAAAAATAGGCAAGGCAGAGTTACGGTTCTTGTGCCCTGCACACCTACTCAATGAGATCTATCTACCTACAAAGTTTCATGTTGATACCTCTTATAGTTTTAGAGTTATGTCCCGGACAAAGTTCAAAATGTAAAAATAAACAAAGGGCAATAATTCAAAAAAATAGGCAAGGCAGAGTTATGGTTCTTGTGCACTGCACATCCACTCAATGAGATCTATCTACCTACAAAGTTTCATGTTGATACCTCTTGTTGTTTGAAAGTTATGTCCCGGACAAGAAAAGCTGACGTTCTAACGAGACAGTAATAATGTGGCTACTCTATTGTTCTCTCTATTGTTTTTTTAAGCCACACAAAAGAAAATAGCCACATAAAAGCATTACGGAATTAATGACATCAAAGAAGAAGAACAGTTACCTATTGTCCCTCCAGCCACATTATTACTGTCCCGTGAGAGCGGACGGACTGACAAAGCGGCGACTATATGCTCACCCTTCGGGGAGCATATAGATGCTCACCCTTCGGGGAGCATAAAAATACGGGATAAACTTAATCTCATTCTGCTGGACAATAGTCTTGTCTTATCCACTATTTGCCAAATAAGGAAATCTAACCTACTCGCCCTGTCGTCTGCGAAACACTTGGTCTAAGGGTATTAAGCTATGTCTAATGAAATTTTTTATAAAATTGAGAGAGAAAAAACACATTTTTAGCTCGACTATACGAAGTATATGGAGAGCTGTCCTACTCGCCCCGGCGTCGGCGTCCGCGTCCAGATTTTAGATTAAAGTTTTGGTGCAGTAAAATATTTTTCACTATAACTTTGTCATTTCTTAAGGTATCAACTTCAAACTTCAAATATATGTTCCTTATCATCAACCACATCTTATGTGACAAGGTTCATAACTCTAGCACCAATATTTCAGATTTATCTCCCCTTGAACTTTAGCGAAATTTTCAATTAAAAAATACTATTTTTTTACTGTTACTTCTTTATTTCTTAAGGGATCAAACCTCATACTTCAAATATATGTACCTTATCATCATCCCCATCTTATGTGACAAGGTTCATAACTCTAGCACCAGTATTTTCAGATTTATCTCCCTTTTGGAACTTAGAATTTTCCATAAAAAATATTATTTTTTACTGTTACTTATTTATTTCTAAAGGGATCAACTTCATACTTCAAATATATTTACGTTATCATCATCCACATCTTATGTGACAAGGTTCATAACTCTAGCACCAATATTGCAAGAATTATCTCCCCATAAACTTAGATTTTTTTTACTAGAAAAATGTTATTTTTTATTATAACTTTTTTATTTTAAAGGTATTACCTCAAACTTCAAATACTTATTTTCTTATCATCAATTACATTTTATGTGACAATGTTCACAACTGTTGAAGCAATATTTACACATTTATCTCTCTTTGAACTTAGGATTTTCTTTAAGAAATATAATAACTTCTTTACTTTTTAAGGTATCTACTTCAAACTTCAAATATATATTTCTTATCATTACACAAATGTTGTGTGACAAGGTCCATAACTCTAGCATGACTATTTCTAGAATTATTCCCCTTGATCTTGGAATTTATGTTAACAAATATTATTTTTTTATTATAACTTAATACACAATTATACATAATTGATTTTTCTTTCATAGTTTTGTCCTCCTTACTGCGTCCTGTATTTTATTAGTCGAGCTTCGCTGTCTCCTGTGACAGCTCTTGTTTATTATCTATGGTTAACCCTTGAAAGAATTTTAACAAAGAATATTTGTAAACAGAATAAAATGTTCCTGAACAAAATAATAAGCTGTTATTGAAGTAGGTTTTAAACCATTTAGCAAAATGGAAATACACCAACATGTTTCTTTCATACAAACATTTTGAAATTATTCTTATTCGAAATTCTAAAAGATTAAACACTTTTAAGTTATGGGCAAATTGTAAAGGTTATTTAGTGATCATCAATATTTACTAGTAGAGGTAGACCTCGATAGAGATGTCATTGCGTGTACCAAGAAAGTACACCATCTTGTTATCACCCGGTGAGGTATATAGATTAAGATAAAAAAAGTGTATTATTTGTAATATTAGTGCAGTATGTGACGAATGCCACAAATGTTATTGTAGATTTGCCGGTTGTAGATTTATCACTTTTGTGGGGCCATCATTAAATTGTAATATTACTCCCAAAATCTTATCGAGTAAATTCCAATCTTCCTTCAACTAGTTTTCTGATTGTTTTAACTGCTCGGGAATTTCTCATATTAGAAATAAAATACAAGATGTAATTAACTTTACATATTGAACTATACGTAATTTATTAATACACTTCCCATTATATTTCAAGGTATGACCTGCTTTTTTAGTGTACTGGAGGTTTTTGATTGTGTAATTTATAGGTAAATAGAAATGAATGTTAATGCATCATTTGTTATACTTTTTATTTTCTACTTAAATATTTGTTTCCAAAAGATTAAAATGTCCCATTTTTCAAATGAAACGCGTACTTAACATGGAATCTTAACTATATTTCATTGTTATAGAGACACTTGCTTCAATATTCAAAAACTGCCGATCACAGATACCTGAAATCCACGTACAGCCAAAATTCCCTCCTCATGAAGCAAATTTAGCTTAGAAAATTTTTTAAGAACTATCCTGTACATTTTATTTTTTAGAAACTATCCTTTACGTTTCATGTTTTAATGAAAGAATTATAAGTTACTGGGCCAATTTGAGAATCAGATTTCCCATTTGTGTGTTAATTTTAAAATTTGACCAATGAAAACTCTTCTTAAATTCATTTCTTCCCTGTAAATTCTACAGGAAGTTACACTGATTTTAGACCGGCTTTCGGCCAGAATGATTATTGTTCAAGTTTCTTTATCAGTTTATCTTTTGTCCAGAGAAACCAGCTTATGAATTTAGTTTGCCGAACTGGAAAATTGCTGATATTAAACAGGGCCTTTCAAATAGAATTCTATTTGAAAGACCCTGTATTAAAATATTTGTGGATCACTCTTAATATATACTAAGAAATGAAGTAAATATATGTATATTATAAACACCTATTATAAAAAGTATCCAGATACCTTATTGTTAATGGCGGCTGCATACTCCTAAACAAGAAAAATGTTTTATGGTTTCTGCAAAAACGTTTATAAAGAATTATTTCCGCAATGTATTTTTACTTAAATGTCAACCGGTGCACCTTATAATCAACGCATTAAACCTTTTCCTCGTAAATAAAAGCACTTGTCTCCAAACAATTTTTCTTTCGAATGATTATATTTGAATAATGAAATAAACTTAACAATAGATATTTGTGATTTATTATATACCCTTACAGTCGAATTATGGCTCAAATTAAATAAATCCTGGAC